GATTATAAACAGTCTCCAGAGTCAACCCACCGCTCAACTCCTATCTGTGGTTCTGCCTCAGTAAGATACACACACACCCCCTCACTGCTTGCTTCTTTGTCATGTTGCCCCTTCACACCAATTGCATGAGCAATGATGACCCACATTTGCATAAAGTCTCTGTTGGCAGATTGGACTGGTCAACATAGCCTGGTGGTCAACAAACACACCTGTCAGAAGAGATTATAATAGAAGGAGAATTAATTGTTGAAGAAGTGCTTGTGATTACAGACAGGTCCGATGTTTGCTCTTGATTGTGTTGTTTCTTAGTATGTGTGGTTGTGTACATGTGTGTGTGTGTGTGTGTGTGTGTGTGTGTGTGTGTGTGGGTATGTGTGCTTTTCCATTTTGCGTGTCTAAGACCTCGCCTTTGGTGCCATCTGGGTCTTTTCCTTCACAAATCGGGAAAAATCAGAGTGCTGAAAGGAAAAACAACACTGGAAAAAGGAATAAATAAATAAATGATGGTGTGGGAACAGAGTGCAAATGCAAACGGCGGGCTGAGATTTTAACGGGAGGACAAGAAGAGAGAAAGAAAGTGATTAGGCAACAGAAGCGCTGGTGATAGGCCTCTCCTCACAGTCTCTGTGGACCCTGGAGATGAGCCTGAGAGGGGGTAGACAGCCAACATGGCAACCTCTCAGCCCACATCAGGCTGTCACCGACTGTGATGCCCACCCAAGAGACCACAGTGTGCTCTCTCTGAGAGGGAACAAACTCATAAAGCTATTATTGCGCAGATGGTTTGTGCTCTTTCCTACTCAAAAGCTGTCAGTGACGGAGTCGAGCATTTGGTGGCAACTATAGGAGCAAATTTAGAAAGGCGAAAGGAGGAAAAATCTCGGTGGTTCTGGAAAGAGGCAGCGAATGTTCAAGTTCACGTCCATTCAGACTCATCTTGACCTAATCGTGTCCACTGTCATATTGTGTGTGTTCATTTGTTTGCGTATCCATAGGAAAAGCTGAGATGCTTTAGGGACCAAGACTGTGTGCATGTAACTCTGGGGCACTGATTCTCAGGACATGCTGCTGCTTTAGCGCTGACCAAAGGAGCTGTCTCACAATCAGGGCGTGAAATGCTAAAGAGCTTCCAGCCACCGCGCCTCTATGGTGTTTTCTCCCCACAACTGTTCATTTGACATTTAGTAAATCATTACTGCACTCATGCCCTCCAGGAACACTCATACACCAACACTCTATACAAATGTACCACAAAACACACACACACACACACACACACACACACACACACACACACACACACACACACACACACACACACACACACACACACACACACGTACGTACACCATTGGTGATAACTGTTTATTAACAAGTTAGGTGACCTGATTCTTTCCTGTTGCTGAAATGATGACTCAGAAGTGTGTGGTTAAATCACAGAGCATGCTTTTATTCAGCTCAGGCAGCATGAGAAAAATGTTGCTATTGTAAGTTTCTTTAAACCACAAAAAGATGTTGAACATTTTAGCAAGGAATGTAATACAAAGGCAATAGGCAGAGCAAGTAATGCAGTAGCAATGGGAGGGGAGGTGGATGGGTCAAAATAGCAGGGAGACCCTTGTTTCTGTCTGTTTTGAAACCAAAAACTGAGTTGTTTTTAGTTTCATTTGTCATGTCATGTGACTCATTAGTCATGTGGCAATACTGTATGTCCCCTTAATCATGATAAGATCTGTAGTTGTGCAAAATCCTGCAACGCCATTATATTTTCTGGCGACTGGGTTGTGTATTTTATGAATCTGAATTTAATTATATATGCAAAATTATAATATTTATCATTTAATATGAAGATACACTTAATTTGGAAAGTAAAGCAACCCTAAATGTATGTAATTGCTTTTAAAGGCTGGTCACACTCCAGTGATTCAAGTTTACAAAATCCCATAAAATAAATTCATGAACACGTCACGTAATGTTTGAACTTCCGTTGGCGTGCACATGGTGTCAGGACCTGTGAAGACAGGCAGGCCCTGACAGGCTTTCACACATCGTGGATGTGTGCTAAACTTCCTCCTAGCTCTCTAATCATTGCTGGGCAGGGGGGATAAAAGATGATAAAAACACAAGCGATATAATGGCCACACATCTGTCTGCTCGCCTCTCATCTCCTCCCATCCACACCCTGTCAACAGCTGATGGACCGTTGACAGCTAGAGAACATTTTGAGAGATTGACAGGTGACCAAGAGAAATGTCTCACATTTAAAATGCCTATTTGAGTCTACCATTAACATTATTACATGGCTTTGACATAATGAACTGTGCTACTTTTAAAGCAAGCAACGATGTTTTCAAATCTGTAATCAAAAAGCTCCTCAAAAAAAGCTATTGAAGCAGTTCCTGCCGTTGCTAGGTAGTTCAAACAGTAACATTGGACTATTTTTCTTAGCGGATGCATGTCATTTTAAATAAATAATAGCCTACTATTTTTTAAAACAATAAAAACATTTTCTAAATCTATAAAAGCATTTCAATTAATATTGGGAGTCATATCGTTACTTTGTTTAGAATGTGGCCATGTAATAAGTGGGATAATGTGCAGCAACTTGGTCAGTATGGGGAAAAGAACACCCGATCAGGAGCCCGATCTTGATAATGACCGCCTCGCTGCCCATTATCCCTTACTTAGAGTATACTAGATTGGAATATTTAAAGTATATGTTCTGTTCTAAACTATAGTATAATCCACACAAACGCTGTATTCACACTATTCTCATTAACATATTAGTATGGGTAATACCGCTTTAGGAAAGTTAAGCACATAAAAAATTCAAAGATTTAAAAACATATTGTATTCATTTGTGTTGTATTATTTCACTTTGTTTGCAGTTTAGTCCTTTCAAACATTTTACAGATTTTCTGTTTTCTATGATGGAACTTTGGAGAAAAATGCTCCTCTGGGCAGCAGCAGATCATTTTTTTGAAGCTTTAGGAAGCAAGACTGGTCAAGCCATACACAGATTTGTTAATATACATGTATCAATGGGCTAAACATACTTTGACCTACATTAACATGCTTACATGCTCACAATGTTATGCAGATAATTAGAAGGTATACTGTTTGCTATCCAAAGTACCGGTTTGTGTGTTAACATGCAATACGTTTTTTGGGGAAAAGGTATGTGACAAATTCAAATTTGTCAAGACTTTTCACTGCGGCCCATAGATCTCATAGACCAAATGCCATTGCAACTCATCAAATAGTTAGAGAAATATCCTTTAAATAAATGATATATTGGTAGCACTAGATGGAAAAACTAAGCTATTTCAGTCCAGACCCAAGTGGTGAAATGATCGATATTGCTGAGGCCACCTCTAGCTTGGGTAAAAGGTCCAACAAATGCTGACATATCAATTAAAGCTTTTATTGTCAACAATTACATTCGCCTCACCTAGGTTGGCCTTTGTTTGAACACTATGAATGTAATGTCCTACTACAAGACTCTCATGCACTCATATCTTCCATCTTATCATCTGCTAAAGTAGGTTCTACCCTCAATTTATCAGCAGCACTCTCTTAATTGCTGCAATACAGATCACCACCCTCTTACTTAATTAATGCAAATGGAGCAAGCAGGCATTAAGTCTTTCAAATAATCTTCAGCTTTTGTCCTTATATTTCTTTATACAAGTGCTTTAAACCCATTGTCTGTGTAATTAGCTAATAAAGAGCTCCTAATGTCTTGTCTTGCTCTAACGACGCACATCCTCCTTTTAATCCATAAGCTCTTAAGGCAGCCATAACTGTCTTATTCATGTCAGGCCAAGAATGAAACCAGTGAAGGAAACAAAAGCAGCCTTTAAAGTCCACACACACACACTTAATATCAAGGAGTGAAGAGACAAAAATGTAGTGTGTGTGTAGAAGAGTCTTATCCACCATCAATTAAAGATGGAGATAAGAAGCAAGACATTTTAATGTTGGCCTTGAGAGGCTTGAGTGCCTGAACATTTGAATCAATAGCATAAAGAAACATAAGGTATTCTCCCTGTGAGTATCTCTTTCAAAAGGTAAACTACAATATGAAAAGGGTTTGACGCAGAACAAACTATGACTTTGCGATCTTAATTATATATGAAAATGACTTTCTTCCTTTCATTGAGATATAAAAAAACAAGACACTCACACAGGGTCCTGCGCTGGCTCTTGCATATTCGTTATACTGGCCTTTTTTGCCTCGCAGCACTTTAATGCTTAACTTGAATGCAGTCCCGTAGGATGTGATACATTCAAACTCGGCAACGACTCGGCCTACCTTGACGACAGCCCCCGTATACTGCCCTTACACCTCATCATCACTTTGGCTCAGAGTATAACCCTGAGATGATGCCAACAGCAGGCGAGCTGCCCACCGTCTTCTCGGCGAAAGTCAACTTATTATTTGTGGGTTTCCTTTCAGCCTGTCCAACACATAAGGTTATCTGGACTGGATAAAGAAGGGAGAGAGAGCTATGCCCGTGTTCCAGCCCCAGAGGCAGGAGGAAGAAACACGCCGAGGTGGGGAGTCGAGAGGGGAGATGCTACGACTCACGCAGTGGACCTATTGGGTTCACCCTCAGGGTGTGTATGAGTGTGTGGGGTTTGGCAGTTGGAAGAGGGTGTGTTTAGCCATCTTCGTTGTGGTGGAAGTAACCTGGGATAGGAGACTGCGCAAATGGACAGAAAGAGGGGAGGGGTCAGGGGTGGAGGAAGCGAGGAAATAGAAAAGAGTATACAGTATATGAGAGGGTCATTAAGATTATTGCTGTGTTACTGTGTGTATGGTTTTGAGGGGTGGGGGTTGAGGCGGCGATATTGTAAGTGCCTCAAGCCTTTGGTCATTTCCACAATGCAGATATATGGAATCAAATGTGGAGCATCACACCACACAGGAGAGAAAGTGGCATATCCGAGCGTTTAGCTATTTGTCTTTGACATGTTATATTTTCATAATATTTTACCTTGAGGGCAGAATGATGAGTAAATCCCAGTGATCCATACTAGGCTCCATCCCAGAAGCTCCGTGTCAGTGCACCCCTCTCTCCTCTTTCTCCGGGCCCTCTGGCTCTAATCATAATGCAACACAAAAAGCATAAATAATTGAAAAATCATTGTGCTGATTTCAACAAGCCACATTTCCCAGACTGAATTTTACTTAATTAGGTTAAATGAATGATTTTCATCCATGACAATGGGTGTAGGGATGGCAATATGTTTCTGTTTTTAGTCCATAATCCACCATTCTCTCAAGAATGAAATATTTCAAAAACGAATAGAAAAACCGCCATCAAATGTGATAAGATTTGGTACAGTGCTCAGAGGAAGGTTCCCTAATATTGCCCTCGACGTTACATCACAACTAGCAAGCATATGGTTAAAACCTTTTTTTATAATGTGAAACATCTGTCATGCCTAGAACCCGGATAACCAAAGCTATAGATGAGACTGTGAGGTATTCAGTGTCACAATGCAAAGGCGGGTTGTTAACTAACCAGTGCTGCGATACCCTTTCTGGTTACCTTTCATCGGGTCAGGAGTTCACAGTCCATCCATCAACATCCATAGGGGTTTGGTGTCTATTTTTAGAGAATGATAAGAGGAGAGGAAAGAAGAGGAAAGGAGAGGAGAGGAGAGGATCATGAAGCATGTATGTTGTCAGCTTACAGTGGGATGATTTATTATTTGATCGCTCCCATGTCACCCAGATCTGGTTTCTGTGGCCTTTTCCCCCGTTATATCCCACCTAGGGGTCACCAACCACTGTTCCCCATGGTCAGCCCAACATCTTAAGTACATACTCAGTTGTAAAAGATCTAAAACATGGGCTTTTAACAAAAGTCACCCTCTGCAGTTTACCTACTTTTGATTACCACATCATTAAGCATATTATCGAATGCTTGATCTTAGTGACTTTGATTCCTCAACATAATTGAAACTTCATAGATTGTCGCGACTATGTTTTTCCTTTGACCGGATCTGCCACAAGTAAGCTTGGAAAAATAAATGCTACCCTGTAGGAATTTTAAGGGGATTAAGACCATATATTTAAACATCAAATGTTCCTTAACAATCAAATTAGAAAAAGAAAATGTTTTAAAAAGAAAAGCCCCTAATCCTATCAGATACCGCAGCACAGATTTGGAAACTCAAATGTAGGAAAATTGTATAAATCATTGTTTTGATTCACAATCCTTTTAAAAAAAGATTTCCGTTGATCTTCTTAAAATAATCCATCACAATTTAAAGAGCACAGGTTGGCTGCATTAATTTCCAAAACAAAATTAAATAAAGATGGGATAGGAAAAGGGAATGAACAAGTGGAAATTTCACAGAGATTTCTGACATGAGCTTAGGGAAAAGGTATTTTGGTTACAGCTAAAACTAATTCACAAAATGGGTCAGCAACATGATACCCGGGAAAATACATAATGTGTAATATATCAAAATATGTTTTATATAAACCATTGTAAAGCATTTGATTTGTGCAGGTATCGGTTGTTTCCTGCTGTTCTTGTTTTTGTATACATATCAATTTACAGTCCTTTAGGCTAGTATATTTTCACTATTGTTTTGCCAATAGTCCAGTCAATATATGCACTAACCGGGGGAAATAAAGAGCCTAACTGCTGCAAACGGAAGGAGAACTGTGCCGTAACTATTGACAATATAGAAGCTGGGTCAGATAGCTGCTCTTTCACCAACACACCAGGTCTCTGGAGAAGTAAACCTCTGTGATATGCATATTTTCCTACAATTAGACCCTTGCCCAACTCACATGAATGCAGTCACACCATCTTACACACAAGGACATGCATTTACCAAAACACAAATACAGAAAGTAAATGCAAGTGCTTGTGCATGCATACGAGTGGACACAGAGACTCACACTGAGAAGGCTAAGGAGAGGAAGGCACACCATCCCAGTATTAATTTTTCATAACATCATGCTCAATACAAAATGCAATAAGTGTTTCTTGTAAGACGACTCCCGGGCACTTATACCACTTGAGCATGCGGCAAGCTTCTCCTCAGAGGTCCAGCCTGTGTGTTTGTCTGACTTACTTTGTCTCTAGCAGGATGACATCTGATGCTGAAGACACCCAGGGGCTGGAAGAGAGAGGAGAGGAGAGGATAGGAGAGGAAGGAGAGAGGAAGACAGAAAGGATAGTTTAATAGTCTTATAAACCACTCTGACCTCCACCTTTAAGTGGTTTTCAACAGCAGTAATCCTCCCTACATCACTATTTATCATATTATTCAACCTATATTTGTATAAACATGAACACTGATGATGTAACATAGCCCAGTAGTGACATTACTCTGGCTTTAAGGACCAAAGGTAGAGCATATCCTGATAAAGAGGACAGATGGGGCAGCTTTAGCTATACAGTGATTTAGGAATAGGGTAAAGGAGCACCTGATGTGAGTGCAGATAACCATCAGATACTTGGGGTGAATTGAATGGAGCATGACCACTGACAAGGAATATATATACAATATTTGTAATCGGTAAACATGTGTATACTCTTCAGAGCCATTCGTCATTTAATTTGAAAATAACATGAATTACTAAGATCTGACTAATGCCCTTTAAATTCATGTTGTCCACAACAGACATTTGACACAAAAAGATGCAGGATGCTACGGTATATTTGCAAATGATTTGAAAAACAATAAAAGAGCATGGTGAGTAACTAATTATGGCCACATTTCACCACACCCCTGGAATAAGTCAGTTTAAAATAAAAAAAGTCTTATTTTCTGTTTTTTAACACCAGAGTGCAACATTTTTCTCCTGACTAACCAATTTTTCTCAGTAATCAGCTCTCTGGCTAATTGGTATCAGCGCAATGAAATAACAGCAATCTCAGGATTTGCACGAGTCAGCTGTATGTTTGGGAAGGCCTTGAGAGAGAAAAAAAAGACATTGACATGCAAATGATTGTCTTGAACTTTATTGAGCGGGTACATTTAAGTTAATTTGCCGCTGGGAGTGGCTAATGGAAGTAGGCTCCTCCAGTAACTCTTAAGGAGTCAATCCACCTGATTTAGAGGAAGCCAGCACATAGATCTCTTGATTGACAGAGCTGTTACTCTACGTGTGACATAACTGACGGACAGAGAGGAAGAGAGAAGGAGGGAGGGGTTTGGGGAAGACCAACACCGCTCTTCTAGTTCCTGCAAGACGCCCTCATGTACAGTATGTTCCAGATGTTATAGGGTTTACCTGGTGGAAAAAGCAGTCAAGTATTGTTTTAAAGCCTTGAGGGTGAATCATAAATGTTGTACGGGGAACCTCGTGAAAAATGCACTACATACGCCCCCTTACCTAAAACAGAGCTTTGATGGACCTCTGGGAATGGAGCATGTTAGTGTAGAATCATGCTACGATTAAAACCATAACAAGAGAGTAGCTTTATGGGGATGACATTAGATATACAGGAAGTTCGTTAACATTCAGGGTTCATTAAAATCAGCCCAGATCTAAAGGCTTTAACTCTGAATATGCAAACAACATTACGGGAGTCAACAGCAGATTAAATGAGTGTGTGTTTTGACAATAGATCTATTACTTAAAAGGCCCTCATCCCTCTCTTAAAGTGTCCTTTCTTATGCCTCACCCAGATCTGCAAGTGTCCCTTGTATCTCTATTTGTGTGTATGGCGGTATGTGTACGCGCAAATATCCCACAAAGGTCTTTTTTTTTTTATAAAGTGTGCTTGTCTGACGATGCTCAAACACTCTTGTCTGAGTGTGTGTGTGTGCATGTTTGCCCTTTTATAGATGTGTGTGAAGGACCCAGCAGAGGAGCTAAAAGTAAAGCGTCAGGCCATAATTTGGTTATAGGGACCGGTGATGGATTAAAGCACGGCTAGGGAGACGCTGCAGCAACATTAGGGTGTCTGAGATGTCAGGGGCAGAGCGCTCTCATTAATCGCCTTGGCCCTTACATTACTGCATTAGTTGTATTAGCAGCTAGGAGTCGGCAAGCACTTTGGGATTTCTCGCTGAGGCAGGCCACATTCCTCTCCTTCTCTTATGGTTACTACGCGGAAGTGGGCATGCTTTCACTTTTTTTTTTTAAGACAGAGGGACTGAAGGAAGGATCATTCTATTTATTCAAGTTGTATCTTGAGAAAAGTGAGTTGATGTGTATTTTGGGAAAGGTGTCTTGAATATAATTTTCAAAAAATGTCATGCTCGAGTCTAAAGTCAGAAGCTTGTTAGGTAATTTACAGTAAGTACATGTGCACTCACACACACACACACACACACACACACACACACACACACACAATGCAGGCCTCAATCAGTCATCCCACTTCTCAATAACCTAATAGTCCTCCTGTGAAAATTGATTTTTAGGAGCATGTTCCATGACCCCGACCCCCACCTCCACCACCATCACAATCTCAGTCCTCTTTTTCTTCTTTCGATTCCATCCATCTCCCTTGCAGTACACATATTTACACCGTAGCTGTTATTAATAAGCAGAAATTGATTTTGCTGTGTAGTAAAAACATTACGTGAGCATTCAGGGG